AAAGAGTGTGATGACTTTAATATCTCTTACTGTCTGAACTCTTGCCCTAGTCACTGGCCATGCAAAGAATCCCTACTTCAAATTTATGGTGGCTCTAGGGTGGGCAGAATGGCTGGACAGCAGTTCCTAAAACAGTCATGACAAAAAGTCATGAGTGTCATGGCTAGATACTGGGACTAGAATTGTGCAGTCGGCCATGTGGGATCCAGTGACCTTCACCATCTTGCTATCTGGCTGACCCAGTTTTTAGTATTTTATTCAGAATGTTTAGATTACTTGTCCTGAGAGAATGGTGGCTATCTGGTCCACAGTAATGACAGAAACAATTCTCTGCAAACATTTTTAAATATGGAAAACTCCTTGGTTAGAGCTAAGTATAGGTAGATGGTCTAGAATATAGACCAGCCAAGACACAAAAGTACTTAAAAGTACTTAGCATAGATAGCTGTGACTCGGACTCATGGCCAATACAGTACTTTCTGTTTTTTAAATAGGTTATAGATTGAACAAATATAAAGAACCAAGGTTAGTGATTCTATTCCTAGACATAGGCAAAGAAATGAAAATTAAGTTGTAAATAATTTATACTCTTCTCCATTGCATTTTTTATTTTCTAACCCTCTCTACTTACCGGACTTGACTGTGTTTTAGACAGCGGTGAAATATCAGACCTCATATGCCCAAGGTTGTGCTCAGGCTGGGTAGTAATTTGTGAGACATGACTATTCTGTTCATGCTTACCCTACTGAAAGAGGTAGTACTCCCCAGAAATCACAGTTAGCCTTGGGTGTTGCCTTCTAAAATCAGAGAACAATGTTTCAATTATTTATTGTTTGGCCCAATGGAAGACTTCTTGGTTTCTTGCAATTAAATAAAGAGTAATTAAAGAGTTTTTAAGAAATTTTGAGTCTTGAGCCATCAAGTAGCATGGAGGGTGGGGTGCTGGATCCCACAGAGCTGACTGCACGCTTCAAGTCCTGGACCTGGCTGCTTGAAAATCCTGCTGGGTGCACGTGCACGCATGCCTAAAATCTCAAGAGAAGAATGGGGGGGAGGAACTTCAGCATGGCCATCTCTCCTGGGAGAGGATTTCTCACTTTCCCTCTCTGATGAGCACACGTGCCCTATAGCAAAAAAAACTAAAAAAGAAAAAAGAAAAACCATAAAGGAAAAAGAAAAATCATTTTTGATCCTTTTAAGACCTTTTAAGATGTTCCTTTTTATATTTGAATTCAAACTACCATAACTTACTGTTCTTTGATATATAAATTTTGTCACAGAATGTTTATAATCTTGTGATCCTTTTCATCTACCATCATCAATTGTCTTTCTGAGTATTCAAATGTTGCTTCTTACTATTATCCTGTACCAAACTATAGTCTATACATGCTGGACTTTTTTTTTTTTTTCTTTTGAGAGTTTTTGCCTTGGGGCATTTGTGCTCACTGGAGAGAGCGCGACAGAGAAGTAAAAGGGCAAGTGAGAAATCACTCCCCAGGGGGAGGGCCATGCAGCAATCCCTTCTCCTTCAGTCTCTTGGGATCTGGGGCATACACATACATACATACATACATATACACACACACCCAGTGTGAGTTTGAAGACCGTGGGTGCAGGATTCGAACTATGGTCATCCATGGAGTCCAGCAATATAACTAATACGCCATCTGTTGGCCCCATGCTGGATCTTTCATAACAAGATCTAAAAGTTACTTCCTATAACTCTCTCTTCCTTCCTCTTATTAGTGTCTATTTTTATTTATTTTTTAATTGCCAGTGGGTAACTGTGCTTGCCAGACAGAGACATAGGGAAAGGGAGAGGGAGAAATCACCCTCCGATGTGGGCATAGTCATGCTGCAATCTCTTCTCCTACATTTTCATCCTGTTGGGATTTTGGGCGTGCATGCACATGGGTTTACTGTATTTTTTCAAGTCTCCAGGTCTGGGATTTGAACTGCAGTTGACCATGTGATATTTGGTTCCCATAACTATGAGGGCACAGTGTCAGTCCAGTACTCTCTTTAATCTATTCAAGTATTTGTTATTTCTGCAGTACTTCTTTTTTTCCCTCTTAATGACTTCTACTCACATTAAAACTTTGGAACATCCATTTACCTTAATGTTAATACATCATTCTAGTAATTAGTTACCATATCTAGTAATTAGTTGGGTACAACAACTAAGTAATTAGCTACCAAATCTAGTAATTAGTTGGGTACAACAACTAAGTTCACAAACTATAGACAGTATTTGGGATCTTGCTGGGATGTGGGGTGTCTGTTTAGTAGAGCAGGAAGCATGGGAAATGTGGCAGACACAGTTGCTGGGAATCAGAAGCTTAGTAAGTGGGTGGATCAGGGGGCAAACCCAGAAAGGGACTGGGATCAAACCTTCCATGATATTTAGCGAATCACATCTCCCAGTCCCATAGTCAGTAATGGAAACCCCCAACTTACTCATTGAGGATACCAAGGCAGTGGGTTGCCGTAACAACTCGGTCATCCTGGATCAAGCTTCCTGCACAGAAGTGGTGTTCGCTGAATTTTACGGAGACCTGCCCAGGAAGATAGTTAGGAACGTGACTAATTTAAATCTCCTCATAGCCGACATCCCCTGAAGAAACATTTGAAGTCAACTCTTCTAATTCAATATTGTATTATTATTATTATTTTTGGAGAGGTTTTTGCTATAAGGTACATGTGCTCACCAGAAAGACAGAGACAGACAGAAAGTGAGAAATCACCCCCTGGGGGCATGGCCACACCACAATCCCTTCTCCTCCATTCTTCTCTCAGGATCTTGGGCATGCATGCACACGTGCCTGGCATGAGTTTAAGCTACTGGGTCCTGGACTCAAATCAAGGTTGAATACATGGGAGTCCAGCAACACAGCCATTATGCTAACTGCTCACCCCTTATTTTTAAAATACTGACACAAATTGGACACCTATGTAATTTCCATAAAGTAAACTTTTTGGTAGAAAGGTAGAAGGCCATTAGGGGAAAAAAATTCATATTAACCTTTACTCTTGATATTTGAGACAAGGGAAATATTCAACAGTTCACCTTTTTCTCATTAAGAAATCAACACAATTGTTACACTGACCTGGCATGGATGCCTACCAGCTGTGGAATCTCTCCAACTAGTAATTCCAGGGAAGAAGCCAGCCTCCACAGCAGTTTCCTTACTTTTCAATTCTACTGTACAAATTCTGCCTTTCAGTCCTGTATAGAAGAGCACATGGGTGTATAGTCCTGCACATGCGTGCATGTGGCCACACACACAGAGCCTTATTAAGAGTTCACTTTATCAAAATTTCATGTTCAGCTTTTCAAGGCCAACACAGGTATTACCCAGCTGCAGCTCACTCCTTTCTTTTTCTTTTTCTTTTTTTTTTAAGAGGTTTTTACTATAGGGTACGTGCACTCACTGGAGAGACAGAGAAACCAAGAAATCACCTCACAGGCGGATGGCCACGCCACAATCCTTTCTCCTCCATTCTCCTCTTGGAATTTTGGGCATATACGCACACATGCCCAGCATGAATTTTAAGCCAGTGAATCTGGAACTTGAACCACGGTCGACTATGTGGAAGTCTGGTGACGTAACCATTACACCATGTGCTGGTCCTCACCCCTTTCTTTTCTCAGCATATCTATCCTGAGACTATCCAACAGTGGCCCCAGGTTGACTAGAACTTGCTTCATGCTCCGCTGCCTACCCTTTTGAGCCAGACTGGGCCAGGAATGAGCCAGCTTGACCTCTCGTGGTGATTTGGGGGTTGCTTTGGAGGATGCACACTACCAAGTCTCATTGCATGGAGGATACTGGGGAACGACACTTACTTCGGAAGAGAAGTGTTAATATTTGGCTCCAAGTTGCTGCTACAATACTTGGTTGTGTTTTCCTGGCGGAGACTCCTTATCACAAACATGGTTAGTAGGTGTGCCCCCAAACTAGAAGTTCAGAACCTCGAGAACTTCAGAAAGGAAACCTGGCTCAGACCTTACTTCAAGAACATCTGAGCCTGTACCACCCCACCCCTCGCCCTGTCTTCCCAAACATGTCAGGTGTGTCTACAACACCCGGGCATCCTGGAGAAAGGCACAATGAAGCCTTCCCTCCCCAGCACTCAGCTACCTGCAGCCACCCTGGTGCCAGCTCTGAGGGGTCTGGGCTCACCTAGGCTTTGAGAGAGGCTGATGGTGAGCAGGAGCCATGAACCAGCCCTGGCCAGCACCCCCATGGCCTTCCTATACCAGGACTTCATCCGTCTTCCTTCCTCTCAGGCCGTGAAAACTATGCTGGGAAGGTGGGCGCCAACAGCTCTTTATTTCCTCCCATGATGCCAATGGGCCACACCTGGGCTTGCAGGTGTCCCCTCTTGACAATCATTCAGAGCTGCTGCCCTCTCTGGTTGCCCTCAGTTTCTTTGGGCCTTACTATCCTGCTGTGTAGACAAGTGAGAGATGTCCCAGTGGCTGGAGGGTTGCTCACATGTATGCAGAGAACCCTCAGCCCTAGAAATTCTGTCCCAGGCTAGGGAGTGTGGCCCACTCTCTGGACAATGTCATTGGTCATCCACAGTAGACATAGGTAGGCAGACTTCTGGGAGGAGGAGATGCCTAAGATTACCACTGCATTGCTGCTCCTTCTGGGGAGGTTGTGGGAGCCCTTGAGTCTCAAGAGTTTTCAAATAGAGCGGGTAAAATAAGAGAAGGCTAACGCTGCCATTTCTTTGTGGGGTGGCAGTATTATTGATCATCAGTGTCAGCAGAATCAGCCAAGGCTGTAGGATCCATTTTTCTAAGGCTATAAAAATTAATTTTTAAGATTATTATGTCAGCACTTTCCTAATAAATATTATTTTGTAGCGTTGGCCTGAGGTTGGAAGAATAGAGCCAGAATTTGTAATGGACTTATCTTTTATCAGAAAATCAGGGGACGCCTAAATGGACATTCTCTCTCTCATACACACACATGCACATATACATGAATAACCTGGACACCAATCCCTTCCAGGTCCACTTGTCTCACTTTATGTGTAAAAAGAAATAAAACACTTTGAGGCAGGAGGGTCAACAGACAGAGGGAGACAGGCAGGAGGTAGACAGGTGTGCAGGAAGCAGAAGACAGTCAAGGTGGAGAAAATGTAGGTACAGGTGTTAGCGGGTGACAGCTGGGGCAATCACGCCTGTAACTGCAGAAGAGAGCAGAGGGTGAAACACCTTTCGTGAAAACCTAAAAACTCTGATTTGCACCCCAACTTAAAATAGGCAGCTCAAACTTTCTTGTTTCATGAACCCAAAATGGGGTTCTATGATTTTTATGTCCCAAATCTTAGGATATTGAAAAGCTCTAGCGCTGCACTGCTCAGTGTGGTAGGCGTTAGTTGCAAGCGGCTACTTAAGTTACACTGAACTAAAATGAACCATTTAGTTCTTCAGTGCACACGTGCTGTAGCTAATGGCTACTATTTGGGACAGGGTAGATCTAGAAGATTCCCATCATCAGTAGTTCTATTGGAGTGTGCCATTCTTGAGAATGAGCCTTTTTATTCTGAGTATTTCAAATAAAGACACCTTGAATGAGTTTGACTCAGCATATGACTCCCGGGTTTTGAGTGTGAGCGCCCAGGGGATACTGGGAGAGGGCTTGGTAAGGTAAGCAGCTCTTTGAAAATAAATCGTTCAACTCCCAGACATGAGTTCTGGTCCAGAAATGCTGCAGGTGTGGTGGCTGCCTGATCACTGTCGGCATCTCTCGGCCCTGAGCTTTGCTTCCCCCACACTCGTCTCCCAAGGATACCCATCTGAACCAGTATGATGGCTCCGAGGGCATTCTGCTCTCTGATGGAAGCTCAAAGTCCCCAGATGGACCCAGAGCCTTTTTCCTTTTTTTTGCAAGAAGTCAGACAAAGAAAAAAAAATCCTATAAGGTTTTACTAAATAAAAATGGAAATGATAGAGTGAGGGGCAGATGGTCTGCAAGAATGACCCCCACAAAAAGTTGTGGATTTGCATCTGGAGACTGCTCAGAACATGCTGGGTGCGTGAGTGCCTGTGATCTGTGGCTGGCTGAAACTGGGGATAGGTCACTGCATGAAAAACTGTTAGGGGTGCTCTTTTGCTCATGGAAGAAAGCATTTCAAACAAATGAAAAAAGAAGGAAATGAATTCAGGCTGTGCACAAACAGTAGAGCCCTCAGTGGTCACACTGTGGCCCACACAGCCTGCTCCCTCACACTCCTCTGCATGTGGTGCACACAGATTTGCAGGACGTCCCATGATTTCTTTCGCACCTGGGAGTCTCTTTGCAGTTGGGCACTGCCTCAGTTGCTGTTACAGCACAGCTCCCCTTGTTTGCAGTTTGAATCCTACAGCCACAGTGAAACCTTTGTCTTACCAACAGAGGATTGGTTCCTAACAGGCCTAACAAAACAATGCCTTCCCTTTCAATAGAACAGGAGCCAGTCAATAAGAATGATGTCCCTACACAATAGCCAGGTCATTAGTTTTAGACTCAAACTTGCTCATAAGATTATGGTTTAAATAGAAATTGAGTGTGCGGCTATGTTGAAAAAGACAGAGTGGGGAGGCAGATGGTCTATCCAAATAGAAGAATCCTTTTTATTTTAAAAAAGAACTTTAGAAAAGGAAAGAAAATCAGTGGGCCACTAAGTGGTATGGTGATTAAGGAACTAGATTCCCACGTGGCTGATTGTGGTTCAAGTCCCAGACCTAGTGGCTTGATACCCATACTGAACGTGCATGTGTGCATGCCCAAGATCCCTGGAGGAGAATGGAGAGGAAATTGTGCTTCTTCCTCTCTGTCTGTCCCTGTCTGCCTCTCTGGCGATCTCATGCACCCTATGGCAAAAACCTAAATTAATTAATTAATTAATTTTTAAAAAAGAAAGGCAATCAAGGAGAGGGTTGGACTGGGCTACCCGAGTGGACTTCTTGATATATGGGAAATCTGCCTCTAAATTGGACATACCTTTGTTAGAGAAGGACAATAGCGATCTGCTATTCAGTTTGACTGTGAAGGACAGAGGTGAGGCTGCAGCTAGGGATGAAATGGACCAAATGACAGACTTTTTAAAAAAGAATATTTAACTTTATTTATTTATTTACATTTGACCAGAGGGGGTCAGAATGAGAGAGAGAGGGAAAGTGAGAAAGCAAACCACCAGGTCTGGGACTTGAACCGCAGTCAGTCATATGAGCCAGCACCCTTAACCATCACGCCACCTGCCGGCTCTTAAAGGAAGGATTTTTTAAAAAATATACTTATGATGGAGGCTTCCTGTGTATGTGTTTGAAAATAGACGAGAATTGACAAATTGTCAAGGCTAACAACGAAATTTGTTAAAGACGAAAGACAGGTGAAGGGATGGTGTGAAGTTCGGCCGGAGGGAAAATCCAAAGCCTAGGGCCCTCTTCCCCCATTGTAGCAACAGGAGAAAAGAAAACATAGAATGGGGTGTGGACAAATCTGTAGATGGAATACAAGATACTGAGGAAAAATGTTTTCCACCTTTTATCTTTGTGAAAAAAGAGAGGGAGGCATCTATTAAGCAAGATGGGGGCAAGGCAGAATGGCTAAGTACTGGACAGTCACTGTGCAGTATGGGGAAGACGCAGGGGCAAGCTCACAGAACAATGCCATGCAAGAAAGAAAGAATGAAGAACGAAAGGTGGTTTTAAAAATGTTTAAAACAAACATGCACTGGAGTCCAGTAGATGTCATTGTGGTTAAGGCAGTAGACTCCCCCATGGCTGACCACTGTTCAAGTCCCAGACATGGGCACATGCACACAGATGCCCAAAATCCTGAGAGGAGAATGGAGAAGGGATTGCAGCATGGCAGTGCCAATGGGGAGTGGTTTCTCACTTCTCTCGCGCTCTGTGTCTCTGGAGAGCACACACCCAATAGCAAAAATATCTCTCTCCACCCCCCCCAAAAAAAGACACTGGTGACATGGGTATCAATGGGCATTATCACTGAGTACCTGAGAGACTGAAACCAGACATAATGGTTTTCATCATATTTTATATAAAATAGACATTTACATAAATTTTATTTTGGAAAGACTTAGACAAAGTGTACATTATCAGGCTTAATGGGAGAACTACTTTATAGGAGTTACATTTCTAACTGGCACAGCAAAAGTAATAAAAATGTACATTTATACACAACCAAAGTCAGAAGTCAAAGCATTGTGAACAAAGAACATGACACATGTCATTTTCCCTTGATTGGGAGGAATCCATAGGAGTTACAGCAAATCAAATAATTTCACATTATAGAAACAAGCCATGGCTTCTACAGCTATCTTAATTCCTTAGGAGGAAGTTTTAGCTTCTCTGCTTTCCCCAGAAAATTAACGCATTCACTCTAAGAATTCTGTAGCACACAGACTGCAAAAGGAGAGCAATTACCTCTGCATGGTAAAGCACTTGAGTAATTCAGTCACTTCCGAGCATCTTTTTGTTGCAGTGATTATGATTAAGAATCATTAAAACAAAGGGCCACATTTATCAGCTCCCTCATAAGATGCACAGCGCTTTTCAATCCAGATTCAAAAGTAGCCATCACAGAGGCTCACAGAGCTGAATGGAAACACTGACTGTCCAGTCCTTTCGTAGGTCATCAGTATGACTAATCTGTCCTGGGTGAGGTGATGTCCTGGGGGCAGAGCTAGGCCTAGGACTTAGGTCTCGATTCTTGGACTAGTGCACCTATTCTATGGAGCAGCAAGATACATAACCCTAAGAGGACTCTGCACACGTTGGAAACTACCAAACACAGTACAATACACACGGCGTACGTGACTGACGATGTGAAGAAACGCTCGGATTTCTGGATGCAGACATTTCTCCCCAGTTGGGAGTAAATGACAGTCTCAACCTACACACTGATAATGACTGTATTAGTTGGGACAGCTGCTGGTTTAATGAGTTACATACCCTAAAGGTTTCAGTCAAAAAGATCTGTTACAAAATGGAACATTTTAATATAGAGGCCAACTGATGATATCAATAACAGCTCTGGGTGCCACTTTGATATTAAACTTTTGAGCACAGCCATTTCATCCCTTTAAGTAATATGGGTTCTAAAACCAAAAATACTAAGTTAGGAAAATGCTACTGTGGAAGAATTATTCAACATATTTTTGTTTTGCATCAAAAAACTTCTAGAGTAATCGTTAAGAGCTATATTTCCCTGTTGGCACTTGCTCTTTTTGAATGTCCAGTGATGCCATCTAGATAGTCAACTTTTGTTATATTTAGAATATATCCACATAAAACCAAATCGAAATATGTGTGATTTGGAAGCCAGTGAGAAAAATTAAAAACAACTAACTATATTTTCTTTGAAGGTCATTATTAATATCCTATAGGTTTATTATTCTAAGAGGTGACTCCACCACAAATCAAAGTAAACATTTTTATTTTTCAAAGACCAATTCAACAAGTACAATTAAGAAATACTATCAAAAACTCACATATGTGTGCCCAAAGGAGAGACACAGATGGAGGTATAAACTATGCCAAGGGCACCTTCTGTGAGTCATAAAAATATCAGTTTCATATATGGGGCACCTTGTCGAATGGCAAGGCCATTCCTCCTCATCCGTGAATCAAGAATTCTGAAAATATAAGGCCAAATTGCAGTCAAATTGTCACAAGTGCAAAACCATCTCACGTAATCACCTGTTTGTCAGCCTTGGAATGATGGCCTCACCCAACCAGTTGTGCCATGCATCATTCTTTAGAGTACTTCGGCTCCTTTTAGTATAGATTTAAAAGTACAAGTGGCAAAAGCTGATAAACATCTCCTTTGTAAAAGCTACTAACTCCCGTTAAAGTTGTCAGCCCCATAATGAGTGGTTTTCTAGTTGAGCTGCATATTAGAATCATCACAGCCAGGTAGCTAGCAGTGATTTTGAAAGATCCCTAAGTGATTCTGAAGTTCGGCCTGTGCTGACAGCCACTGTGTGTGAGGGAACAGATCTCAGCTCTCTGCTCTTGGATAAGAGGGGCTGGAATATTTAATAGAGACAATAAGAAACCACACATCTACAGTTATGGTAGGTTGGTTTGTAAAAGGTGATAGACATTTTCTTAAGCAGTCTGGCTGAAAAGTAGTTGCCTGGAGGTATTTGCACAACTACTGCAAAACCCTGCGTCAAACCAGGGACCACCAATTATGAAGAATTTCCAAATCTTATGCTGAAAGTTGTCAAGTACTATAGGAAGCTGGAATTAAAGTGCTGACAATCTTCCTTATTTTGTGACAGACTGCAAAATAAACAAACGCAAAAGAATACATCTCAGGTTTTCCTGACATAAAATTTCTTTTCCTCCAAGGTTTTTGCATCTTTGGTTTAGTTCACCTGTGTTAACATCACTGAACCATGGTTTATGAATACCGTTAATAGACCGAGAATACCTGGGTCATTAAAACAACTCTAATTTGTAAGGTTAAAATAAGCTGCTGAAGCCATTCTTGTGGCTACTATGTCAAAGAATATGTTCAGAGACTGTCGCGTATGTGGGACTTTGAAGGTGAGGAGGACTGGTCTGGGGTGGGACAGAAGGACAGGTGAGACAACGCACATGAGGGACTCTCCATGCAGCTGAGAGAGAGCAGCAGGTGCTGCTCACAGTAGTACAGTCACAAAAGAAACCCACGACAGGATCAAGTGACTAGCCAGACCAAAGCAGCGCTGGTTCTGGCCTGAGCCACCCTCCTTCCTACGCGGGACCTGTTACATAACGCTAGGACCCAGTACAAAAGGAAACTGGAGGGCCGTCTGTTGAAAAAATCATAAAGGATTTCCTACAGGGTTTTTAACCATGTTTGGGGAGCCGTGGTGCAGCCAGAGCTCTGGGGGACTCCTGGATTGCTCACCAGCTCTTGGCCTCCCTCTCAGAAAGGTAGCAGCCACTCCCAGGCCTGGTGAGCGTTTGTTAAGGGCAACATGGACACGTCTCCATAACTAGCCAGGGCAATCTGTTTTACTTTGCTAAAGATGAATTCCACATATTATTTCACGTTACAAGGACCAAATAAAAAGCTACAAAATATACTTCATATCTTTGAAAAATAGTGTGTGATCTCTTTTCTTGTAGGCACTGTTTCAGTTTGAAAACTAATTCATTGGCCACATCTCAACAAAGGAAAAAAAGTATCAGATCCAACAGACAATACTCTTTTTAAACAGTGCTTTTTATATCCAGGGAAATTGCGGTGGGTGAAGACAGAATGAGACAGAAGGATAGCAGCGTGAGAGAGAGAAAGGGAGGGAGGAGAGGAAGAGGGCAATGGAGAGAAGGAAAGGGGGAAGGAGGGAGAGTGAGAGAAGGAAAGGGGGAAGGAGGGAGAGTGAGAAGAGCACCTAAAAGGAAGGAGGCAGGGGAAGTCATGTGACCCTTTTCTCTAAGCAGCTTGCAGGCTGTGGTTCGCCATTTCGATTACTCCCACAAAGATGCCCCAAAGGTGCGCCTCTATTTTAATAGCACTTGAGTAAGGCATAATTGCTGTGGAAAACGTGAGGCTCAGTGTTTTCCATAAACTTTCTGAGCATGGATTTTGGCTACAAGTTATTCTGAAAAGTTGTAATAAAGTCCCAGGACTTCATGGCTTTCAAATTGGGGGTGGGATAGTCACTTTATCATAAATACTATGATATGTATCTTGCCCTAAGAACGATGGAAGTCGAATTTTAAGAAGAAAATGAAAATTTGGGGATGAATTTTGGATCTGTAACCTTGAAAGGTTATGAGAAACAGAAGGGTAATGTGGTAGTATAGACATTTATTTTCTTATTATTGCACACCAGCAGGTGCAGGCTCATCCACATTCTGTAACAGTCTGTATCTAAAATATTTCATCATCAATCCCTTCTCAAAGTTTTCAGTTTTTTCCTGTTTATTTGGACTTACCTTGACAAACGTAAGGATAACATTTAGAGCAGTGCTTCCAGACAGTGAGTTGAAAGAAGGAAGCCTTTTTTTAAAATTATTTAATTTATTATTATTTTAATTTTTTTTTTGCTATAGGGCACATGCACTCGCCAGAGAGAGAGAGACACAGAGGAGAGAGAAAGTGAGAAAGCAAGCCATCGGGTCTGGGCTCTATGTGGGAGTCCGGCACCTTCACCATCACCTGGCTCTGGACTCAAGGCAAACTGCTGCCCCCAAGCTACGTCTGTGTGATGTTCGCCTCCCAGCCTCTCACAGCTCCACCTGGACGCCTTCTGTTTCGCTTTTAATGACGATGATCAAGTTGGAATCAGATGGTCTAGTTGCCTCACCTTCAAAATATGGTACCACCTGAACACGGAGGGCTGATTTCCGATTTCTCTCATTCTAGCAAAGTGAAAAATCAATACCGATTTGAAGGACTGTTAAAACCTAACTATTTTGTAATTTCGATTTATTTGTTCATATGATCCATTTTGAAAGCTGCTATTAGAGCCACTATGTACAGAAAAAAAAGAAGTGTTTTATATATATATATTAAATATTTTATAAGTTATGAAATAAATAGTGCTAAAAATAAATGTCCAATTGTGAGCTCACCTTTGCCTTATCTATCTTTTAAATATAAATATATACCTTTTTAATTTAGACATTTTCCTAGAATTTTAGGATATTTTTCCTGAATTCCTCCAAATTACAGATTTGGAACAAAGAACTCTGGGTTTTGATCACTCATGCTCTAAGCACAGAATTCTTGTTAGAAATATAATTGTGTTCTCTTTCCACCTAGTTAGAATCTCTGAAGATTTCTACCACTGGGAACCAGCAGTTAGCATAATGGCTATGTCGCTGGGCTCCCATGTAGTCAACCGTGGTTCGCGTCCCGGACCCGGTGGCTTAAAACTCACGCCGGGCGCATGTGCGTGCGTGCCCAAGATCCTGAGAGGAGAATGGAGGAGAAGGGATTGCGGCGTGACCATCCCCCCTGGGGGGTGATTTCTTGCTTTCTGTCTCTATGTCTCTCTCTGTCTGTCTGGCTAGCGCACACGCCCTACAGCAAAAAATCTCTCAAACAAACAAACAAACAAACGCAAAAACCCCCCAAAAAAAAAAAAAAAAAGGTTTCTACCACTTACTGTAAAGATTCCTCAATGGTTAAATATATTTTTCAAAAAAATAATAAATCTCATTATGTCTGAACCTTCAGATAATAAAGTCAGTCATCTCTCTCAGTTAATAACTTTAATTTTTTTATGTAGAATATACTATTATTTTCTTCACCAAAATAGCAATATATTTGGAAGCAGAACATTTATGATTTTAAATGCACTTTCGAAAGCTTAGAGTAGAACCACTACTCTAGTAATACCTGTAGTAAAATTATGATACTTTTAAATATTTTTATAAAGAATTAGGGGTACCAAGCTCCTTGATTTTCCCCTCTGGATAAAGATATTCCTACACAATTCCAGAAGCTTCCCTTTGGAAACACTAGGCAATGGGAAAAACTTGTGTCAGAGTAAAATTTAACTTACTCTTCAAAAGGGCTTTGGTAATATCTTTAGGGAGATATCAGATGAAGCTCACGTAACAATAGCCCTTTCCACTACATCTTCCAGAAGGTTCTACACAAGCTATTAAATGCTCATTTCTAGTTCTGGAGAATTAAATGTGTGAGCACTTAGTAGAGAATAAGCCTACCCAAGAAGATTTATCCTCTTTGAAAGATCTCATCATATTGGGTTGCCAGAAAAGTCATGACATTATTTTTTTTTCCTATGCAAAAATACATCATGACTTTTCTGATGATCCAACATGCACTGCCGTCATCTCATTCCAAACGTCTGTATTTCTGAGACATGTAAGTCTAAATTAAGAAATGGAATTAGATCTCCAGGTTGCAAAAGCATAGAAATATATCGAGAGAAATCTGGAGTTAAGCCGAACGAAAGTAAAATGTGTAGCTATTGTTTTCCTTCCCTCTTGTTGCTTGCTCTGTCTTCTTTTATGGAAATGTAGGTCCTCTGGCACTGGGTCACCAGCAGATGTCCCAGCTTCTGCCACTGTGACTCCGAGTGTGGGGAAAGCTTCAACTGTGCCTCTGCTGAGCGGAAAGCAAGGTCTCCATCACTTTTTCACTCCAAGAAGCATAAGTACAATCCCAGGACGTTGGGCCGGGGTGCTACGTTTGATCCTCTCGTCGAACTTTCTGTAATCGTTTTTCTAGGCGATCCAATTTGGCCAGATTCTCCTTCAACAGTTTGCTCTCTGGAACCAGCTGTAAAGCTCTCTCATAATAAGCTCTTGCAGATACATAGTTTCCCTATGAGGACAAAAAAAACAATTACAATCTGACCTATCAGAATGTTCTCGGAGAACAGGAAGACTAAGAAACTGGTCTCAGCTCAGGGTAACATTTATGTTCTCAGGTGGAAACCCTGTCTGGGTGTGTAATTTTATCCTTATCTATTGGTGCTTTTGGGGAATCCATTTGTTAAGTACCAGACCGCTGGAGAATGTGAAAGAAAAAAGGTACACTGTAAGGTTAAGTGGCAGAAAAGACAGACTTTCAATTCTATTAATACAGGGCATGAGGCTGTCATTTCATAGTGTTCTCATCAGGGTAGCACTTATTTTTCAAACCAATTTTTTTTTTTTAATTGCCAGAGGGTACTTGTGCTCAGAGCAAGGGAGACAGAGAGAGGGAGAGAAAGAGAGGGAGAGGAAGAGAGGGAGAGGAAGAAAGCACCCCAGCAGGGTGAGGTCACACCACAATCCCTTCTCCTCTCTCTCCATCCTGTCAGGACTCTGGCAAGCATCCACATGTTTTGTAAGCCACTGGGATTGGGACTTGAACCAAGGAGTTGGGATTGGACTTTCTTAATCACTAGGCTACAGGGCCAGCTCAAGAAATTCATATTTTTTGACTAAGAAAGGGAGAAAGGAAAAGCGAGAGAAGAAAAAAATGTTTCTGATACTGTAAGAAGCATGATTAAATAAAGTTATTGATTATATTTCTTCTTAGTGGTAGGAGTTATTCCAATCTTCAGCTTAAAACATAAAAAAACAACTTTTACCTAACATAGGCTCCAATAGAAAGATAAATATTTAAACATGGAAAAACTGGTAAGAACATGGGATCAAACATACCCACTCCTCACAGTGTGTGGCTGTGCATATGAGCTAGGTATTCCCAGTGCAGGAGAGAAGGTACGTCATGCCTGACATGCTAAACATATCCGCCCACCCTCTTGTGCCCTCATCCGTTTGGCTTAGTGACGCCCTAACCAGTAACTGTATGTGCCCAGTACCAGATGGGCCCTGCCTGGCCCGTGAGTTACAACTGGCAGCATTTTCTAGCATCTTCTCTGTTACTAACTGTATTCTCTCTCTCATTTGGTCCTCCCTCTTTCAGATCTGTATCTTGTCGAATCTCAGAACTAGGATCCTTGAATTCATCCCCCTCTGCAAAATATGCATTTGCTCTACCTTACTCTCACTTACGTGTTCCATGTGGATAAGTACTAGAGACTCTAAGTTTCCATCACAATTTAAATATTTATTTCTTGGAGAGAAACAACTAACAGCTAGTACTTCCTGAATGTTTAATTATCTTCCAAATGAGATATGTGTCTAAAGCTTAGACAAAGGGCCAGCAGGTGGCATGGTGGTTGAGGTGCTGGATTCCTACATGGCTGACCGCAGTTCGAGTCCTAGACCTGATGGCTTCAGGATCAGACATGTGCACGTGCACCCAAAATCCCAAGAGAAACATGGAGGAAAAGGGATTGTGAGGTGGCATCTCCCCAGGGAGTGATTTCTCACTTTCTCTGTCTCTTTCCAGGAAGCACGTGTGCTTTATGACACACAGAAACACAAACACACAAGAGCGTAGACACTGCCTGACGCGTAGTGAGAAGTTAGTGTGGAACAGCCCCCTGTACTTTTGCTCTCCACAGTGGGCTGATATTTTTGAAAGACAGAGACCACAATCACGTAACTTTATTGTAACATATGGCTATAATTATTTTATCTTATTATTAGTTATTGTTAATCTCTTACTGTGCCTAATTTATAAATGAAACTTTTTTCAGGGTATACAGGATCTTTAAAATATTCATGGCAAGTGCATCATTATGGAAAAACTATGCCTGGATTTTGAAGTTTTTGGCACCAGAATAAACTGCATTTCTTCATGAACTTTTTGAAGTCTCCTCATATTTATGTATGGAAAAAACTGTGTGTGTGTGTGTGTGTGTATACATATATGCACGTGTATATATGTGTGTGTATGTTTCTATATAGATGGTTTAGTACCATCTGTGATTTCTGGCATCCACTGGGAATCTTGGCATATATCCCCTGAGAGTAGAGAGGTCTACTACACTAAAATTACTTGTATTGTTAAGTGATGATTCCAGGCTTAGTGTAAATATTCTCCAGTTCTTACAGTATTCACTGGCCATCCTGGCCAAAGGGGGAGTGAAATGAGGATGAGAACTTGTACATTGGGAACTGGGTGCTGGCGTCTACAACAAATGAAAGTACTTCTGATTATTAACACTGACTCTAATAGGAAGCTAAAGAGATGGCTGAGCAAGGGGGGATTTGGACATAGTATGTTCAATTCTTGTGTGTGTGTGTGTGTGTGTGTGTGTGTGTGTGTGTGTATGTTTTAACTTAAGCACTTATCTTCCAGTGTCTTCTGATTTTTATTAAGTTGAACACACGCATGCACACAATTGATTTTAGGATGCTCTCAAAATACACTTCTACTGCGGTTGATTTGGAAATTGTTCTTTCAGAGAGTTTTCCTGAGTTTAGGCTTCAGCCCAGTGGTTTGGCATCCTCTTTGATCACCAGGTTTCTTTGTCCTTCCACATACAATCTAGTTCATTTTCTCTTCCTCAAATTGCTCTTTCTTGATTAAACTGGAAGCCTTATCCTTTTTTTTTAAAAAAAATTATTTATTATTATCATAATCTTGTTAACATTACATTGAATCACATATATCATTACAGTGTATTACATTTCTTTTCCCAGAAGGAATACCATGCATGTCACTCAAGACAAGACAGTACTATTGACATCATCATCATCATCAAATATCTTTTCATCATTTTTCCAGATTGTTATTATTTTTATTTTTTAATCTTATTTGTATTTTAAGTAATATCTGTTAAGCCTATGTCTCCAGTTCTCTAGAGGCTAGGAGGAAATTAGAATTATCCATTTTCTAGAACTGTGCTAATATGATAGCCACTCGCTATGTGTGGCTATTGAAATTTAAGTTAATCACAATTGATTGAAAATTTAGTTCCTTGGTTGTGTTAGTCACTCCTGAAGCACTCAGTAGCATGTGTGGCTCGTGGGTATTGTCTTAGAGAATGCACATATGGATTTCAGAAAATCTTACTGGATAGCACCACTGTAGAAAATGCTGTGTATTATTATTTTTTTGGAGAGGTTTTTGCTATAGGGTGCGTGCCCTATAGAGAGACAGAAAGTGAGAAATTACCCCCCGGGGGGATGGCCACGCCGCAATCCCTTCTCCTCCATTCTCCTCTCGGGATCTTGGGCATGCACGCACACGTGCCCAGAGTAAGTTTTAAGCCACCGAGTCTGGGACTCTAACCATAGTTGACTACATGGGAGTCCAGCGACATAGCCATTACGCTAACTGCTGGTTCCAATGCTGTGTATTATTGTCATGAGGTAATACTGAAAACAGTTCTTTGTGATACCACCTGTCTGATGACACTCTGATTATGAAGAAGGTTGGTCCTAAGCCTAGTGGTTAAGGAAGTCAGATCCCATATCCCATTTGCTATAGGGCACGTGTGCTCACTGGAGAGACCGAGAGACAGGAAGCGAGAAATCACCCTCTGGGGGAATGGTGACGCTACAATCCCTTTTCCATTCTCCTCTTGGGATTTTGGGCATGCATGCACATACACCTGGCATGAGTTTTAAGCCACTGGATCTGGGACTTAAACGGCGGTTGACTACGTAGGAGTCTAGTAATGTAATCATCATGCCATGTGCTGGTCCCAGATAAAACAATTTTTAATCCATGTTAATAATATCTTAAAATAATATGCTGAATAGATCCATTTTAATTCTCCAGATACTTTTCCAGAAAAAGTACCTCTAAATTCAAAGCAATGCATTCGATTGTTAATCTTACAGAATACAATAGATACAGTATTTTTTTCTGTATTTCCAGACTTTTTGAACAAACTTAAATGCATTTATTGTACCTTCCAATTAACAATGGAACCCACTGCTTTTGCTACAGACCCGCTTCATTTGAAAACATACTAAGCACGTTATCTGAAAATAGAACTATTTAATGCGTGGTCTTTAAATGTCTAAAATAGGGGCCAGCAGGTGACACAGTGGTTACATTGTTGGCTTCCCACATGGCTGACCATAGTTGGAGTCCGGACTCAGTTGCTTGAAAACCATGCAGTGTGTGCGTGCGTGCATGCCCAAGATCCCAGGAGGTGAATGGAGAAGAAGGGACTGCAGCATTTCCCCCCACTCTCTCCCCCTACAGTCACCAGGGGGGTGATTTCTTTCCCTTTTACTGTCTCTGTCTCTCTCAGGCAAGTGCATGCACCCTAAGGCAAAATCCTCTTTAAAAAAGTCTAAAATAATTATTTTAGTATTTTAAAGTAGATTTAGTCTCTGTTTTCCAGCTGGATATTGCTGGACACCCTGGGGTACCACTGGATCGGATTGGTCCATGTGGCTTCAATAGTTGTCATACTTGGAGTCGCCCTTGGTTAGATCAAGGATGCCAGTTGCAGGGCTGACCTTCCCATTTTACCCTCCTATCCACGCAGTCTGGGTCACCTTTCTGCAACTTTCTGGTTGTGTTTCTGATGGCAACCGACCGATTTCCACTTAACAGTAAACCTTATTAGGCTTCCGTTTAAATTCTATCACTAGACTGCTGATCATCGGTAAGTGCAGAGACTGACAGAAGTCTGTAAATAAGTTAGCTAAACAACAGTAAGCCTTTAGCACATGAAGGACAATAGCATTTTTCTTCTCCAAGTCCTCTAAAGACCCTAAAGTCATGCGACACAAAAGCCCAATTCCCTTCATTTCCCTTCAAGGCCTGTGATCCTTTTGACCTCAGATTCTCCTGTTTGCTCTCACTTGCCCTGCCCCATCTCACTGCCCTGCCCCAACCCTGTCCCCTCACTGTTCCTCAAATACAACAGGCATATTCATACTTCGGGACCTTTGCAGGTGCTCTTTCCTTATTTTAGTTGCAGGAGTTATTTGAATATTCAGGCCCTATTTTGCCACATGGCTTGCACCCTCAGGTCTCTGCTCACATACTCCTTGTTAACTGAGGCCTTTTCTAACCACCTTAATTTACAATTTGAGCCTTTATTCTCTGGCACTCCAATCTTCTCTCTCTCTCATTTTTCCCCCATCCATAGCACCCACCACCCTCTGCTATACTTGATCTATGTACTTAGGCATGTATACACATGCGCATGTGTGTACTTTCAGGCTGACCTGGAGATCTGAACCTCCAGCCAGCCCTGTGGCTTCCAGCACTGCAGCCCAGTATGCTACAGACTGCCAGTGAGGTAGGGCCCAACTTCGCTTTTAAACACCTATGTTTTTGATCCTGAAATAACCTCAAAGAGGAAACAAATCATAGTTTTCAACACTTTACAAGAGAGGTGAGATATTGAGTGAAAACACCAAGGGATACCCAGCACACTCCGAAGTGAGGGCTTCTCCTACCTTGATGTGCTGGATCCCTCCCATGTTCATCCAGGCCTGTGCTTGATCTGGGTTTAGTTCCACGGCTGCTTTATAGCTCTAAAGAAATAAGAAACGTCTTCAGGTGAGGACATGAGAACGCATATTTAACATTATAGCACTGAATGCAACGAAACCAGCTCCTTGTATTAATTCACAGGTGACAGCCTTTACTTCGATTACTTTTCAAAGCTGATGGTTCTACAGTGAAAGACACTGCAGCGTGTGTGAGCTCCCGGCGGAGCTAACCTTTGGACCGAAAGAGAAAAAGCGTGCCTGCAGGCAGGTCGGACACAGTATCATCTGCTGGCCTTGCTGAGCAAGAAAACAGCTTTTGGCTTTTTTTTTTTTTTTTTTTTTTTTTTTAAAATATTTTTTTTTTTTTTAAACTAGAAAAGGAGTTGGTAAGAAATTTTATTTATTTACTTGAAAAAATTTTCATTTACTCATTTATTTATTTATTTTTAAAGATTGATTTTATTTAACTTTATTTTAATTTGACCAGAGAGGGACAGAGTGTGTGTGTAAGAGAGAGAGAGAGCAAGTGAGAAAGCAAGCTACCAGGTCTGGGATTCAAACCGTGGTCAGTCACGTGGGAGTCCAGTGCCCTTAACTCTGACACCTCCTGCCGACCCCTTCTTATTTTTAATTTGCCAGAGGGCTGTGTGCTCTTCAGAGATGAGAGAGAAAGAGAGAGAGAGAGAGAGAGAGAGGTAAAGTGAGAAGTTATATACCTCAGTCTCTTCCATTTTCCTCTTAGGATCTGGGGCATGCATGCACATGTACCTGGCATCTTTTTGAAGTCCCTGGGTTCAGGATTTGAGCCATGCAGTCAACCATGTGGAATTCAGCTCACTTAACCACCAGGCCAAAGGCTGGCTTGAAAAGTCTTTACATAATCACAGAATCTTAGCATTATCTCCTAAACAGCTTAACCCTAGAGTACTATTCCCCTTTATATTAGGTCGTTGGGAAAATCATGATGCATTTTTGCACAGAAAAATACATCACGACTTTCCCCATGACCCAGTAGTATCACTAACCTGGTTATTCAACCTACGCTTAAGTTCTTAGAATGGATGCTCACCACTTTAGGGGCATCTATCTTACTAGGATATAGTTTTTTCTTTAGAAAGCCTTTTTCTTCTCTTTTATGAAAGATCTTCACATGTTGGAAGAGAGCTACCTGTCCCTCAAGCATTTTTTTTCCTGAATAACTATATCCTATTAAGTACAATATCTGTGAGATATATTTTAAATAGTATATTGTTTTGCATCAAAGGTATCCTCACCAAGGAGTCTTGTTTTAAGAATGGTTATCTTAAGTAATGCCAAAGACTAAGGGTTGTCTTTAATAACAAAGTCAAGAAAGCTAAGTGTCTATGTGGATATTTTAATGTTCCTTGCTATTTTTTATTAGCAAGAACACAACTAAACAGATCTATCAAATAAAATCTGGCCCGCTCTCCCCTATTTCAGTTTTAGAAGAAAGAAGTAAATGATAAGAAACTGTACTTTCAGGGCCAGCTGGTGGCATGGAGGTAAAGGCAGCTGGGTCCCACATGACCAATTGTGTGGTTCGATTCCTGGACATGGCAGCTTAAAAAATACAGGGCATTTTGTTTGCATGCATGTGTGCCCAAAATCCCGAGAGGAGAACGGGGGACAAGAGCTGTGGAATGGTCATTCTCCCTGTGTCCTTTTTTTTCTTCCTCTCTCCATCGCCAGCAGGTGCACGCAACCAAATTTAAGAAAAAAAAAAAAAAACTTAAAAAGAAAAAGAAAGTATACTTTTAAAAAGTTGATGAAAATTAAATTGAGGGGTATGTTTCTTGGGCTAATTTATATCACTAGAGATGGAAATGGAGTGTAGAAGAGAGGGCTTACCCTCTATGTGTCCTTGAGTAAGTTATATGACTTCAAAAATGCAAAGTAGCAACAATAACCATTGCCTTTCTTGTGATTGTTAAGATTAAATTGGACATGAGGGACCCAGCTTCTTAACCATCATGCCACAGGCTGGCCTTCCAATAATATTTTAATAGCTATTTGCTTTTTATCAACACAACTTTGCCATATTATGCTTAGTATAATTTAATGACATCAATAATTCCAACCAGTGGCTTTACCAGATACAAGGCTAAATTATGATATTTCTGTAATATTTCTGTTTATGTTTTTAAATGTCTTCTTGGTTTCAACTTGTGAAAAGTTATTCCAAAGCTGTAGATATTGAGCTCCTATGAGATGCAAGACATTGTTTCAGAGCAGAGAAGGGAGCTGCCATTGTTTACGAGGAAAGTCTAAGGTAATTGGGGAGATGAAATGCAAGCATGTGTGTATACACACACACACACACACACGCACACAAACGGAGCGGGAGAAGAGTGGGGTAGGAGGTGGGAGATAGAAAGGCCAAGAAAGAGAATAATAACCTTAACAATATAATGCAGTATACCAGGGGTCTTCAAAAAAGTTCATGGAAAATGCTTATTACAAAAAAACTACGGAGGGATTAAAATTTTTTCTTACAGCAAAATAAACTCTTATTTTTTAATCACCAATTTTGTTTTGTCTTAGTAGTATCTAATATTATATTAGGATACACATTATTTTCTAAGCATACTATCTAACTGCATTATAAAAAATGCAATAAGATAATTAGTATTGGCTTTTAACTTTTTGAAATAAAATTTCAGAAAATAAATATTACTAGTAACTTCTAAAAGTGTTGCTAGTGTGTTAATATTTTCTAGTAATGATAGAATACTTATAAATTCCATAAAATATAAGTCATTTCCTTACAAAATATATTTATAAAATATTTTCTTCAAAAATGTTTGTTTATGTAAAAGATCAGGTTTTTTTTCTTTTTTTTTTCTTTTTGCTATAGGCCATGTTCACTCACTAGACAGAGACAGAGTGAGAGAAAAGGAAAGTGAAAAATGATCTTCCAGGGGGTAAAGGCCATGCCACAATCCCTTTTCCTCCTTTTCTCCTTTCTGGATTTTGGACATGCACACACACCTGTCTGGCATGTTTTTCACGCCATCAGGTCCAGGACTCAAACCATGTTGCCAGCGCTGTGAGATTCAGTGTTTTAACCAACACACCACCTGCTGGTCTGATTAGCCTCTTAAAGACATCACTTTTCCCACTATTAATGAGAAATAACCCAAATGTTCTGTGAAGAGAATGAAAGCCCAGCATTTTTCAGTGTATTTCAGTAAGGTCAACATTCTTTAGATTTGATGAATCAGTCATGAAGAGGGTTTCTGCTACTTCTAGGAGATGAGGATTGGATGACTCCAGCCCATGGGGAAAGGGGTCCCCTCAGTTCACTGGCCTCAGGGACTCTCAGATGGAGTGAAGGTGGGTGAATGCAGCCTGGCACTCAGGAGGCCGGAGTGGAGGGGAGAGATCAGCACGGTTGTTAGACCCAGACCCACTCCTGGGGAAGGACCGCCAGGGCTGGGCCACTGGCCTCCTAGAAGGTTTGCCAAAGCTCCTTGTGATGCTGTGATTCTCACGTCTTCTAGGGACTCGAGCATTTTAGCATCTCCATCCCCTCCTCTTCTTGTTTGGAGCATCTGATCTTTCTTCTTTCAGTTCTTGAACAATGGAATTTAATTCCTCCCACAGCATTCACTTGATCCTCATTGCCTCTCTGTAAGCTTCAGTAAGGCGGAGAATATTTAGACTCCTTCTCTTGCCTAGTATTCTCTAATGATAACTCCATCCCTGTATGTTCCTTTTGTCAAAAAGTTGATGTTTCTCTTCAATCCACGCAGCCAGTGTTTCTGCAAGCTGCTCATCTTGTCTTAGATAAGGTCGACTTCTAACAGACTAAGTCTGAGTAAGACAGGCTCCCCAGGGTACAGTCCCATTCAGTAAAGTTCTTCTGAGCACCATCTGGTGTTGCCCCAGGCCTGACAAGGAACCAAGGGCAGACCTCTGCAGACCTGGTTTTGGCAGGGGCCCACATTCCAGGCACTGCTACTGCAAGGTCACACTGACCCCGAGAGCAGTAGACAATGACGCAAATGAGGACCAAGAGGTCTAACTCCTTTAAGATACAACAAAAGCCACAGAACGTTTCATGTGTTGGGGATGTGCTAGCCCACTGTGCCTGACTCGCCTACTTATCGGTCACGCATACAGTCTCCCAGAATAACCTAACCAGTTGCCCTATAAAAGGCTGCCTCTCTTTTCTGACAGGGGGCTGAAGCATCTCCAGCTTCAGACCCCTGGGTGATCTTGCTCAATAAACTTTCCTTTTCCTCTTGAGATGGTGCCTCCTGAGTCTTACAAACAGTGACAGCCAGTAACTAGAGATGAGAGGTGGACATCGAAAGTGCTCCATGGATTCAGGTTATTGGGCAACAACAGCTCCTTCACCATCTCCTTCAGCTTCCCAAAGATGAGCCCAAAGCCAAGCTCCATAGAGGGTCACAGCCTCTTCAAAGGCACTGCAGCCACCACAGGGCTCTGCCCAGTGACCACAGACCTGGCAGCCACAAAGGACCCCAAGGAATGCTGCAACTGCACCCAGAACCCAACCAGCACGTGGAATTCTGGATTGGCCAGTATATGGTTGGCAGTTGAGAGAGATCTGGAAAACTGCATATATGTATTTCTGTTATTACCTAATGGAAATTGCTATTTATATCCATACTGTTACTTTCATAGCATTAAAAATTAAAATAGTGTGAAATGTGTCTATTGTCAGCATATGTAAATTTTTGAAAAACTTTATACACCTCTACAGTATCCAACACCCCGTAAACATATGAATCATGTTTATTAGCATCGAAAATTCCGCGTGGCTTTTTAAGTAATACCTCTCCACCATAACCATATGCAGCCTCTGTTTTGATTTCTACTAACATGAATCAGTTTCATCAGCTTCTGAACATCACAGAATAAAACCCATCACAATGTAGTGCTTTTGACGTACAGCTGTGTCTCTCTTTTGTGTGAGTATATCACGGTAAATTATAGCTACTTGGATGGCTTCAAATATGAGATATTAAGGATCAAGATACTTTGGATATGGGGGC